AAAGTGGGCACAGACAAGTGGCTGACTCAGGGAATTGTAACCCCACCTGTCTGACTCTGGAACCAGCACTCCAGACTGCCTCATTTTGAGTAGCATTACTTGAAGTTATAACAGTTATTTAAAAATAGTGCACATAATTAAAAGACACTACGAGACACATTCTTGGTTACAACCTTTTGTGTTGATAGAGATCTAGGTTAGGTTGGGGCTGTTACTAGCAATCTGTGACGTTGAGAGATTATGTTTGTAGCAGGAAGTGAAAAGCTGGTTTAATGCACTTCTATGACAAATGCTTTGCAATGTGGATATTTAGCTGTTAAAAATATATTTAGTTTGCTAGAAAATAATTATAGGTCACCTTTAAAGAATCTAAAACACACAGATGTCAGATTATATCTGTCACAAGCTGTCAAAAATGCTTTCTATCCACCTAAAATTATCCAGGGATCGTTCTAAATTCACATAATCTTACAGAGCACTAATGTTTACATTCGGATTTTGCCACAGCAGATGTATGGGGAAAGACACATATCGTCACCCAGTGCATCAGAGTTGGCAGCAGGGCGAAGGTCAGGAATGTTTTCTCCTCCTGACATGGATTCAACGCAGCGATTTCACATGACAGCAATTACCTAAGCACTGGATTGTCCTGATTACTTCCAAAATTTTTGGAGCTCCATCTGCTCTTTCCTACTTACGCCACTTAAGAAGAAAAAAAAATAATCAACTCCAGAAAAGAAGAGGCTTACAGGGCTTCACAGTTAATACGCAAAGCGCTCCTCAGTACTGTATAAATATGGGGGAAAGAAATGGAGAAATTCACATAAAAAGATGAAAGTCAGACCTTGAGTGTGAGAATATGGCACAAAGAAAGAAATTCCTAACGCTAACGGGTACAAGTTTTCTTTCTAGGGGTATGGAGATGTTTTAAAATTAGATTGTGGTGACAATGCACAACTCTGTCAACACACTAAATAGTAGTTGAATTGTATTTGTAAAATGGGCGATGTTGATGGTATGCAAAATAAGGAGAAACAAGAGAAAGAAGAAAAATAGGAAGAAAGTCCTAAACAAAACGAAACAGAAACCAAAGAATGAGCAGGTGAAAATGAACTTGGCAGAGAGGCCATGGTAGTTTCACACCAATAATACATTTATTCTAAATCTTCTCCAGCATATTTCAAGACACCCTTTTAAGGTCCATAGGATGGATTATTCAAAATGTTCTTCCCAAATGGAGTCTGTTGTAGTGAGTGGATAAAAAGACATCTCTCTCAAGTAGTTTTCTTTTTTTTTTTTTCATCCTAGCATTAATGACCTACTAATTTTCAGTGGCATAGAATGCTGAGAACTCAATCCTAAAACAAAATAAAAACCAATGCTGCTACCATATTTCTCACCTAAATATCAGCAGGAGATATGCTGAGTGGCTTATAATCCCCTAAAGAGGGTTGTGTTTCATTCAAATCTAGTCGAAATAGTAATGTTTGTTTTGAAAAGCAGAATCCAAATGAGTGATGTCGAAAATGTTTAGAACTAACTACTAGGACAACTTAATGGATTTCTTAACCTATTCTTTGAAGAAGCTGAACCCACCCCACCTCTCTCCCTCGGGGACCCAGAGTGGCTCCTTTTTCTAATTTTCATAAGGATACTCTGAAGGCTAGCAGTGACACTGCTGTTAGACAGGCAGAACCTTAAAGCATGGCAAGTCTAGAATATATGAATGGAACATCACCCTAATTTTAAATGAATGTTCTTATATCTTGTATTCCATTTTTTCTATTTCAGAAACCACTTTTCAGTAGATACAAAACAGTCTGATATATTAGCAAACAGGAATCTTTAAATAATCTTTAATCTCATAGATAGCTTAATTTTGAAAACTTGTTTAGGCCAATTACTGATCTCCTGAACAAACTTTTACCAAATAGTCAGCTAATTACCCTGAAACGTCTGAGTTTAATACATTAGAAAGCAAAGAGGCAGATTGGACTTAATTATTTCAGCTTTTGAAATGATAACTAATTGTGACATTAAATATTATCAGAAATACAAAATATTCTTTCTTTTAACTCTAATTAAACTTGATTTCCAAATTAATATTAATTACTATATGTCAACAAAATAAATATTTTTTGGCCAAGGGCAGACTTAGCAGAGATATAAATCCCAAGTACTTTCAACAGCAAAGAAATCAAAATCAGTATCAGAATTGATAACAACTTAGGTAAAGACAGAATTAACTACCTGTTTTTATTAGCAAACATCTTGTCCATAATCCCTGCTGATAAAAGAAATGACTTTTTAGAATGCATTTAGATAGCTTTAAATGTTTTAAGACATAATTTTCCTACATTTCCCCCTTTATAACCAAATTTGACACTTATTTCAAATTTCTAGTAAGGATTATAAATTAAAGTCATTTATTTTTTAAGGTACAAATGACTTTTTCTTTCCTTTTCCCATACACTTCTGCATGCAGTGGGTATTTAATAGATGGGGTTTACCAGTTTATTCTTACCTGTGTTCCCTTTGTATTGTAATTATATTGCATTGCATTATGGCTTAGGTTTATTCATTCCTCGTAGAGTTATTGGTTATTATTAACATGTCTAAAGGTAAATAATGAAACTAAAGTTTAGAGAGGTCACTACAGTTCCAGAGTCATACAAATATTGACTTCTAGTGCATGGTTTTTATTACTTTCACACGCATCAGTATTTCATATTCACAGAGTAGGAACTATATCTTGTAATAATAAACTACATTTGCAAGCAGCTTATAGAGGATATATATTTGTTTGGTTTTATTTTTACCCAGCATATATTCTCCATTGATAGAAATAGGCCGAGAACATCTATGTAGGTAAACAAGATGCAGAAGTCTACGCCAGGCAGCATCCTCTGGCTGTAGTAGTTAGTTCCACAAGGAGGGTGTGTGCTCCATTCAGAGCCAATTAGATGCTGTAAGGCTTTTTCCTGAGACTTCTGGAAAAGGATTCTCACTCTTTCTCTGCATCCCTTTTACTACTATCTGGGGTAAACCTGTCTGAGAATGCAACCAACTCGGAAAAAGTGTGGCTGAGAGTTTAAGAAAAATAAATCTGATTAAGGTCATACTTTTTTTTTTTTTTAAACAAATACTTGTGTAGTGCTTACGATGGGCCGGGCAATGTTTTAAGCACTTTACAAATAGTAATTCATTTATTCCTCTAAACAAAGCCATGAGGTGGATACTATTATATTCTTGAATCTATAATTGAGGAAACTGAGGCACAGAGAAGTTAAGGAACTTGTCTAAAGTCACACAGTTAATATGTGAAGTAACAGGAATTTGGATCCAAGTCATCTGGCTTCAATGTCTGTGCCCTTGGCCACTATGCTAGGACCATACTTTAGACCTCACATCAATGGTAAGGTCATACATATTTAACAGTGGGTTCTTGAAAGAAGGTGGGGGTGGGGGAGAAGAAAGGATGGAAGGAACGAATGAATGAAGGAATCCTTGACTTGTTGCATTTGCCAATTTCCCCAGTGTAAATATTCTTGCTGTGGCTGATTCCAAGCTGTTAGCATGATGATATCTGGTTTGCAAAATTTCCCCAAATTTAATTATTAGACAGTTTCCCTTCTAGCATGAGACCCTGTGCAACTGCACAGGTCACACATCCATGAAGGTGGCTCTGGGTCTATGTCACTCAGCTGGTAAGTGGCAGAGAAGGCTTGTGAACTCAGATCTACGTGTGCCTTAGCCTGTAATCTCATACTCTATCACACGGCTTCCCTGCAAAACAAAGGATCTGTAAATACATTACTGATACCCCTATGTAGAATTTATTTAAATTACTGATAGTAATATTTTGTATTGTTGATCAATTTCAAGCAAACACACACACACACACACACACACACATCTACACTTGATTCACTCAACAACTCCTATTTTGCAACAACTATATATAATACTAGATCACAAGTATGCCCATTCTTAATTTCTTATTTATATTAAGTTTTCTTTAGGTAACATTAGAAAGAAATCTTGCCACACATTTATTGAGCTACCTATATTACACATTTTTCACTTTTCAAACAGAGCCAGAAAAAGGAAACAAATAATATTTCACATAGTAGATTTTTAATCATTCTACCTGATATACTCCACTGTCCCCTACCACACATAACATGCAGTTGCTTCATTTTTTAAACTTTAGGTGACTCTAGATGCCCTGGGGAGTTTAAAAAATAAAACATATCCACTTTTATTTCTCACTAAAAATTTCCAGAAACACTCCAGTTACTTCCTTTCTCATAGAGAACATGGGCCTAAGTATAGCCGTTTACAGCGCAATTTCTATTTTTCAAAGTGCACAGATCAGTCAAATGAGTTTTATTACTTAGATTCTCGCATTCGAAAATCATTATATCCCATGACATTATTTTGTGATATATGATAATGAAGTAATGAAATGGAAAATAACTTTTATATAAGATAACATTTAGAAGTTGTATTATGTGGTTTTATGTAACATCTGGGTTCTACTGCTCAATTTTTGATGATTTAAAAAAAATAGAAAACTCCCCACCACAATAAACAGCTGAATAATGCTTCAAATTTAATCTATGCAAATAACCAGCAGATAGTTTATCATGAATTATAACCTAGAAGCGGAGGCTTAATATAAACATTGTTCTCAACATTTCTATTTACTCATTGACTAACTTAGGCTATTTAATTTTCATTTATTTTTGAAACATTAGAAGATGAGAGGAAGAACATTCCAGCATGGTTCTCTAGAAATGTGGAAAATGCTCCAAGTAAATAAATCAATACATTGATATGCTTTAAAGATGATTTTCTAAAACATTTGAGAAATACAATTTTTGTTAATGAATGATGAAAACAAAACATACTACCAAAGAAGAAAGATTTCTTCACTGGCACGGAAATGAGAGCATTTAAACCATATATGACTTATCCATCACCCAGAATAGTATTACCTGCTCAGATCTGTGCTGCTGTTGGTATTGGTGCTGAGCAAATGCATTACGAGAAGAAGTAATTTCATCCTCAAAGTGTTTCTTCACCTTGGCCAAACCACCGGGCACTGTGCACATTTGTGATTCTTCCATCATCTAGGATGATTTAAGAAAAGAGATAATCCAGCTTTATGCTACACAGCATGGGATGCTCAAAGCTATTTTTTAAAAACAGCTAATAATTATTGAGGGGGAGTATATTAAAAAATAATAATATACACAATTATTTCAGTAGGCCTTTACTGAAAACATTAATAAAAATAGTCTCTCCATGTTGTTTTATCATTTATCGGTCTTTTGATATAAGATCAGAAGAATCTTCTAAATATTGAGTTAATTAATCTTATCTCAGATAAATTTTGATGTTTGGAGATTAGACCTATTAGATCAATTTGAACATTAGATTGTTCTCTAGTAATGCACAGACTAGTGGATATTAAAATAATGCCTTCAATTTTAACCCTCAATAATGTTGTCACTAAAATCCTAAACATCGGTATAGGTGAACACATTATTAAGAATAATTATTAAAATAATTTTGACTTACTCTAAAATTATTAAGGATGAACAAAATAAAGAGCCTCATCATATTCCCTATGCAAAAATACTAATAAAAGTAATAATATCGGCTACTTAAGCCACAGCTAAGCAATTTTGTATGCCATACATATTCTGTCATTTAATGCTTCTCCATATTCTGTGAGATATGGACATCTATTAGCCACATTTTAAAATAAGGAAATTGATGTTAGGAGAAGTAAGACAGATGTTAAGTTCTCACAGCTAGGGCATAAGTGTTGGCATTGGAATCTGAATTCACGTCTATCTTGTCTTAAACACCAGCCTCAAACAGGCAGAAAAACAGCAGCTCCTCTACTGCGGGATAGGCACATGCTGGGCCTCGGCTCTGAGCACTGGCATGGCGGAATCGGGGGGCTTTAATGGCAGAAGGGTTCTAGTCTATCCTTGTCTTATTACAGATGGGAAAACTGATTTCAATATGTATCACTGGAAGCACTTTGAAAAGCACCCAAGGAATCCCATCAGAACTATGCCCCCTCTGGAAGCACAGAAGTAGTTGAGGGCATTGGTTTTGGCGATTCAGCACACTTCAGAGCCCAGCAGGCACTCAAGCCCAGATGGAATGACAACTCACAACCCAACAGGGCCCGGTGCCAGCTTTCCCTCCTCCAGGAAGCTGCTAGGTCTGCTTGCAGCTGGGAGGAGACTCAGCCACACTTCGAACCAGAGCAGGTCTCCTGAGGTCTGGTCTGGTCCTGACATAACCCTCAAAGCCTTAAGACCTTGAAAGTAACTGGAGGTCTGGGAGCTGAGGTTCCCACGCCAGGGACTGGGGACTCCTTGGGTCCTGGAATCTTTACCCAAATATGTAGTTTTTCAAACAGACACTAAAAATACAGTGACTGTGCTGTGGTTTGGATTTCTCATACTCCAGAATATTGTAGACTTACTTAATACTCAGGATTAACTGAATTACTAGCAAATACTCAAGTGGCTGCTTTATCAAGTTCAGAATGTTTCCCCACTTCCATGGACTATCATATATTTCAGGATATGCATATTGGCTCTACGGGAAGAAGGGATAGGATTGCACACTTCTATGTACTAGCTGTATAGCCCATCAAATTCTACAACAAAGTTTAAATGTAAATCCTAATCACTGCCATTTGATGTATGTTAAGGTCATGAAAAAGCACAGTATACCTTTTGAAATTTAAGATAGAGTAAAAAAGCAAAGAGTAACTTAAGGCCACAATATTTTTTTCCACATCTGCCATCTAATTTACGTAAGTGGCCTTCCTGGATAGATCACATGTAGATAATAAGTAAATTATAGAAATTAGAGTACTCATTGTTAAGATGAACCTTATTGTTTCAAGCAACTATACACAATGTCTAAACCATGTGCAAATTAATCTGATAAGCTTCAGTAATTATGCTAATGATTGGATACTCCCACAGTAAGTGCATTTTCACCAAAAGATTAGTTCCCGTAATGGACAGGTTGCCTCTCGTCTACCACATGGATTAAAAGACAGATATAGCCATCCCTCATTGTGCTTTGGAATCAGACCATGTTACACATGCAAAAATACATGCACTGTACTATTTTTAATAGTAATACTAACACTGCCCCTATCACCCCTGGTGCTACTATTACACCACTGCTGCTGCTCACCCACCCAAGTGAGGCAAATGCTCTGAGATATAGTTTAGTGGTGGTGATAAGGTGTCTTTGTTCAGCTCAGCTTGGAGATGAAAGTTTCTACATGTGACATGGCAGGACTTGTTCAGGAAGCAGTCTGTGGCCCCCACGCTGAAGTGATGCTTCCCTGCTCAGATGGGGATCACTCCTGTGACTTTTGCCCTATTTAGCACCATGTTCTAAATGTCCTATCTAATTCATGTTATTATAAGTGACTACATAGCTGAGATTGCTTTGTGTTGAACCTTTTTATGTTTATTATTATTCTGTGTTTCTTATTTATTTTTTGGCTTGGAAATAGGATTTGAAATCTAATGAGTATGCCAATAATAAGTTGATTTGAATGCCTAACACTTAAACCTTGGTAAATATATTAAATAGTCATCAATTTCCTTTACAAAGAACTGTCTTTGGGTTAGAGGGCATGATAGAAATAACACAATTTTGGAAGTTGGACAGATAATGATTTTAATCCCAATCCTAACTATTAAAACCTTGGACTAGAGCTCCTGAACCTCAATGTTCTTATAAACTGGACATAGCAATATATTTCTCACAGATTTATTGTGTTAAAAAAGATAAAGGGAATAGATTTCACAGCACGGAATCTGGCATTTTAATGCATTGTGCAACAAAAGTTATTGCTACCCTCTCTTCTGGGGGCTTCTACAGACCACTGCTTTTTGCATGGGCATGGCCAAATGTCGTCTCACTGAGCCTAAGACAAAGAGAAATGGACCATTGCTAGCTATCTAAATGTGATTAAATATAGTGGATTCAGTTTGGGTCTGGATTTGTGACTTCCAGTCTTCCAGATTTTGCACATAAAAAATATTTGGGCTAATTGTGTAAATAGAGATTTAGTCACAAGCAGTTTCCATGATCTATATCTATATCTATATCTATATATTTTAAAATTGAACAAGCATTTAATGCAACTGACCACAGAAGGGAATTATTTTGCTTTACTTTAGATATTTACCAGGATTCTGCTGAGATAATACATAGGCTCTTCTTTCTCACAGTATTTGTCAAGGCCAAACCAAATAGTAGGGTATTTGGAGGCCAAAAATACTTTCTTGTATAAGAGGAGGAAGTTAAATCCAGTTAAAAGAGTTCTAGGGTTAAGAGACCAGTGTGGCTCCCTTACTACCTAATTCTATAATGTCCTATTAGTCATTTTTCCTCAGTTTTCTTGTCTGTAAAATGGGCGTGAAAGAAAAGTATTACCAAATTCCTTATATGTAGATTATTTTCAGATTAAAATTAGAAAAATTTTAATTAAAATTAAATTTTTTGATTTTTTGTATTAAATTATGGGATAATTTAGTTTCCTTGTGCACCCAATGGAAAATCCTCTCTTCAATACAAATAAATACAATACAATACAATACAAATAAATACAAATCATACCCTGATACCAATTTGTTTTATGATATATTCTCCTAGTGTCTTAAAATATCAAAGGCTTCTTAAATAAAAGCTTATTTACTAAATAATCAGTCTTTGACTAGGTATTTTCAAAATCACCTGTTTCCTCAAGAATCATTTGTCTAATTTAGAACACTAATTTGTAGTAAAGTTCCTTAATGATCCAGCAGGGGGTGCTATCTAAGAAGACTGGCAGGAGGCACTGCAGTGCTACTACTTGTTTTGGAAGTGATCTAGCTACTTATGCCACTTCTGTACATTCATTCCAAGTCTATGCTGTGTCTAAAATGTATTTTAATGACTATGTGAAAACTCAAATGTCATCTAGAATTGCAATATTGTTAATGAGTTTGGCACAGGCAGCCTTGTCTCTAAATAATTTGTAAAGAAGAATGTTAAGAGTGGCTATTTTAATATACCACCCTCTTTGGCTAATCTCTCTCTCTCTCTCTCTCTTTCACAACTTGACTAATTTGGAGATTATAATTATAAAAGAATATTCTTATATTCCATTACGCTGAAGGCCACAGAATAAGGAACCCAGCAAATTCTTTTGAATATGACTTTATTATGCATTTGGCTCTAAAAATTGGTGGTCTTACTGAATCCTGCAGTTTCCTATAATCGTAATTGGTTTAGCAGAGTGCCTACATTGCTAATCTCTCTCATTTTTATGTTGATTAAGCCTACCCTAATGGATTTAGTGCATACAGAGAAATGAGAAAAGCAAAAGAAATCATACTGCCAGTGAATTTAAATGAACCACATATGAGACCAAGGAGGGTGGCATGCAAGCCCAGATTATTAAAGTTTGAAATTAATTCCCAACCTTCCTGAGGAGAATAGCTATAGGTTAAGTGATAATGATGACAATAATAACACATTTATACAGTGCCTTATGGCTTACACACAAATTATCTCTCTGATTCCTCACCAAGAAACTGTGTGGTAAATGATTATTCCCATTTTTCAGTTAAGGAAACTGAAGCTCAGAGGAGGGTTAAGATAGCAGCTCCAGTTCACGTAACTAATAAGGAGCACAGCTGAAGCTTAACTTCAGATGGTCTGAATTTGTTTCATACTATTTTTGTGCTCTTTCTACTTGAACTTCCTGTCCAGTAGCGTCCTTACTTTTCAAATGTAAGGAGGGGGTTTAGTCAGACAGTGAGCATATTGCCTTTTGACCATTAAGAGCAGCTTACGTTAGCAGAGAAGCTGCGGCAGCCACCCCTGGAAACAGCTGCTTGGTACCGCGCCATCCGCTCCTTCAGGGAGACCACCTCGTGGAGGTCTGATACACCCTCGCTCCGAGCAGCACTGTCTTCTGCAAATTCACTAGCAGGTATATTAGGGCCAACGGTTGCTGAAAGGAAAGTAGAATGCTCAGATATGTATCGGGCTTTGAAAAGAAAATAACGTCACCTTATAAACAATGAAGACATTTAAAATATTTGATCTGGTAAAACTGACTGTAACATTTCACCGTATTTTCAGTGTTTCATGGTCACTCTCTTCTCTTCAAACTTTCAAGCAAAGTTAAAAAATGTGTGTACAGCAGCATATGTTTATGTAAACATCAAAAAAAATTGTCCTCTCTCCTACTCCCGCAATTATTCTGATGGGAAATAGTTATTTATTGGTAGATATGTAATGTTAATGATTAACATTCCTCAAGCACTATGTGTTGGATTTATGCTAAATGCTGTAAGAGCTTTATCTCATTGACTTCTCTAGCAACTTTGTGAGGTAGGTGCTATTATTTTCTAAAATTTATATATAAGAAAACAAAGATTTATGGTAGTTAGAAAACTTTCCCAGGATCACATAAATAATAAGTGGCATCTTTGAGTATGGTTTGACAAAATCTTTAGCAAATCTAAGTCAGAATTGCACTTTGCTTCTCTCCTCACGCCCTCACCCTCAAGAAGATACATCTAATTAAAATATGCTATGAGAATTATAGACTGTGGATTTTTTCTTTATTCATAGAGGCATGCATTACATAAGAAAGAAATAATAATATCATTAGAAACAGCTTTGTCAGTCACCCATTTCAATGATCCTGATATTTTCCTATTTAAGCCATCTACCTGGCAAAAATGCAGGGTAGTAGAAATCGTGTAACTGGAAACAGAGTGAAAGACTGATTACATGATCACAGAATAACAGTTGCTAGAAATGGAAAGAGATCATCTGGTCTAACCTACTCTAACCAACTCCTTTTAGACATAAGAAAACATATATCTAAATATTTTTTGTGTGCAAGGAACATAAGGACTTTCCATGGTTATGTGATTCTCCATGGTTATTTAGCTTGTATATGCCAGAGCTGGTCTCAAAACCAGTTTTTCTTTTTTAATCTAGTGGTCTTTGCTATGTTATCACTTTTCTTGATGGTTTACTATTCACTCTTAGGTGATTTTGATTCCAAAATCATTTCAAGGACTCTTTCTGAGGCCAATCAATGCATGGTATAGATATCTATCTGTGTGTGTGTGTGTGTGTGTGTGTGTGTGTGTGTGTGTGTGTGTGTGTAAGTATATTTATCACTCATTCATGCACCTCTTGCCTTTCACTCTTAGGACTGGTAGTTTCAAAGAGTACCTTATTATTCAGGTGGGTTTGATTTAATCACTGTGAACCAAGGCTCAAACAACCTCAGGTAACAGACAGCCAAGCCATTTCCCCTCCTTCTGTGTTCTTTCTCCCTCTTCCCTCCACTTTCAGCCCCGACATTGAACAATCTTATTGAATTGTTTACTTTTTCTATTATCATCTTCAAGGTTTATGTACACAACAGCAGTTGAGAACAACTTCTGTGGCCCAGAAAACATAAAAAATCATTTGCATTTTGACTTTCTCCCTGAGTATTTGGTTTGCCATAGAGACTTCTTATTCAGGTAAACATTTTCATGTATTTTCATTAAAATTGCAAAAATATTTTATTTAACATGTTATCAAAAATATACAAAATATGAAGAAATAAGACATTGTATTCTATGAACACTGTGATTGTACAACACTGATATGTTCACAACAAATGTCAATTATCTTTGAAATTCACCTGTCATCCCAAACCCATATCCGTATAAAAGTATACTCCTCCGGTAGATTCTGATAAAAATAAATTTCCACAAATCACTCAAAGTCTTTCACATGCTGAAGAAAAGATATCTTCATTTTCCCCTGTGGATCATCTATCCACATGGATGAATTCAGTTTCTATTCAGCTGTACTGTTCTTACTTTGTTGTGAATGAATATTATATAGATTTTATTGAACATGATCCCCTGAAGTTTTTCCACATTAAAATATAAATTTTATTTGTGTATTATTCATAAAAGATGTCATGCTTTTATTAATCTTATGGAAAGTCAGCCTGTTTTTGCTAACATTTACAGGTAATATTTACTTTTCAAATATTTGATTTTTATCATTTTTCATGAAAAAATGCCTGAAATTATTGGTCAAGAAATCAGTGGCCTGAGTATTAAGAGATTTGGATTACATTGCCTCATGGCCTTTTAGGCTAGTCGCAGAAAAGAAATTACATTTCTTCTCTCTCTCTCTTTTTGCCTCATCAGTAACTGCATACTCAGGTAGGGGCACAGTGTAGAAAATTACTTTGAGCCAACAGCCATATTGTTTCCCAACCTTCTGAGTCAATGACTATCAATTTCTTCATCTGAAAAACAAGATGATGCTTCCTGCCCAGTCTACAATAATGCAGTGCACCTCTCTGCTCCTATCTTGGTGTTGATAACACCTGATGTAAATTTTTAGGGTTGATATGACAGCCCCTTCTTTAGGGATGTGTGAGGAGGAAGAAGAAGGGAACATGAGGTGGCCGACCTGATAATACTGTATTTCAAAACACGTGCATGTCTTTACAAGGCTATAGTAACCAAAACAGCATGGTACTGGTATAAAAATAGACAGATAGGTCAATGGAAAAGAACAGAAAACCCAGAAATAAAGCCATATACCTATAACCAACTCTACTGATCTTTAGCGTAGCAGAAAAAAACATTCACTGGGAAAAGGATGCTTTATTCAATAAATTGTGCTGGGAAAATCAGATAGCCATATACAGAGGGATGAAACTGGATCTCCATCTCTCACTATATACAAAAAATAACTCAAGATGGATTAAAGACTTACGTGTAAGTTCTGAAACCATAAATATTCTAGAGAAAACCTGGGGCTAAAAGTAGACCTATCATTCGATTCAGTAATTCCATTACTGGGTATCTACCCAAAGGAAAGGTAATCATTATAGCAAAAAGACACCTTCACTTGTATGTTTATTGCAGTACAATTCACAATCACAGTGGTATGGAATCAACCTAAGTGCCCATCAACAGATGAGTGGATAAAGAAAATGTGGTAGATATATACCATGTAATCATACTTAGCCATTAAAAACAACGAAATAATGGTTTTCGCAGCAATTTGAATGGAACTGGAAGCCATTATCCTAAGTGAAGTAAATCAGGAACAGAAAAGAAATACTGCATGTTCTCACTTGGGTGGGAGCTATCCTATGGCTATGCATGGCCACACAGAGTAGCAGAATGGACATTCGAGACTCAAAAGGGGGGAGGATGAGAGAGGAGTGTGGGAAGAAAAATTTCCTATTGGGTACAATATGTACTATTTGGTTGATGGGTACACTAAAAGCCCAGACTTCACCACTATATGATTTATATGTGTAACGAAACAAACAAAAGACCCAGGCAGACTGTGCTGGCAAGTCACAAGGATGCCTGCAAAACTGAAGCAGTAACAGATACCATCTTCAAGAAGACAAGCACACTTCAGGTGACACATCAATAAGCTTGCTATTTTATTCTGGGTGGATTATAAAGAAGTCAACTGTTTCATTCTCAGAAAATTGATTTAGAACTAAATTGAGAAAGTGATGAACTAAATCCTGTCAAACCTAAATATATGATCTATAACCCAGCTTGGATTTGTGTGTAGGATATCATACTGATACATATATCACAGGCTCAGAGCCATTAGCATGAATAAATTTTTCTATAATTCTTAATATTTGCAAATCCCTCAGCTAATAATAAAATTCATCTCTTTTAAACATTCAGAATGCTGCTGCCAAGTCAAATTTGTAATCAATTTGAGTTTTATATATTCTTAGTCTCATTTGAATATTATAAAATCAAGAAGTAGATAGAGAATAAAATGAAAGAGCAAGTGTACGGCACAGTCCTGCATTAATTCACAGTTCTTAAAAATACATGAAGAGGAAGGGCAAAGGAATAAAATTAATGGAAGTATATGCCATGATGGCACAAAAACTGTCTGTGGCATTCTTCCAAAGTATGAACACAGTGACTCCGATTCTGTTTCTGAAACTAACCTCCCTATGATCTTATTTACTCAAAATGCATTGTATTATTGCATGTAGTCTTATTATTGTCCCCCAGATCAATCCATTCATCTGATTACCGTGCTTTTACATTAACGAAAGCAGATCTGTCGCGATAATACAAACGGTTAGTTCTTGCTTTTTGACTGACTCTTTTGTGAAAACTAGTATTCTCCTAGTACACCAGATACTGAAAGAGATCCTTCAAATCCAGTTGCCTGTTACAGGAAGAAGACAAGATTCGACATTGAGGTAGGTAAAATATTGGTCCCCCAAAGATGTTCATATTCTGATTTCCAGAACCTATGAATATATTACCTTACATGGGAAAAGGGATTTTTCAGATTTATAAAGTTAAGGAGCTTGAGATGGGAGATTAACCTGAATTATCCAGGTAGGTTCAATGTCCTTACAAAGGTTCTCTTAAGTGAAAGAGGCAGGCAGGAGAGTTAGAGTCAGAAAGGAAAAACAATGACAGAAACAGGAAAGAAAGAGAAAGAAAGGAGGGAGACAGAGAGGGAGGGAGACAGAGACAGAGAGAGAGAGAGAGAGAGAGAGAGAGAGAGTTATTTGCAGATTGTGCACTGCTGGCTTTGAAGGTGGACGTAAATTCCATCAATCAATGAATACTTCCAGTTTATGGAAGCTGGAAAAGGCAAGGAAACAGATTCTTCATTAGACCTTCTTGAGGGGGCTTGGTCCAGTCAACACCTTAATTTCCTCCCAGTGAAACCCATTTTGGATTTTGAATCTCCGGAACTATAATATAATAGATTAATGCTGTTGTAATCTATTGCATTTGTGGTACTTTGTTACAGCAACAATGAGAAACTAACAAGCATTCATTACAAGTACGTCTATCTGTCCGGGTCAGAAAATGCTATATACCAGATACTTTTTAAAGTATATTTCAGTTCCAGCTCCCCCAAATTGCACAGATGTATATATACAAATCACTGTATGATGGAGCCATC